CTTGAATGATTTGATTATAATTGAAAACCTAATACCAACACTAAAAGCTGGATTTTGTCCAAAATGTATGCCTTGGGCTTAATTATATTATAAAACACTTAGTGTTTGATCATACTAATGAATGTGGAAATTGAAAATACCAATGAATGTAAAGGTTTGCTTAATTCAATAAAATCATTAAGCAACTTAACTAATCATCGTAAGGCAATGTATGCTGGAAAAGTTTATAGATTATAGAATAAGTTATTTCCAAACTCCCAATAATATATATACACTTACTTATCTTAATATGTTGAGTATTCTGATTATCAAAAAGGTCATGCCCTCTAAGTTTTTTGAACATTGCACAACATTTTTTGTGCTTAATTCATAAAATAATACTGTGATATCTAAAAGCTTAAACAAGATTTTACTTAAAGAAAAATGTAGCATGAGAATACTTGAGGGCATTTGTAGAAACAAAATAACTTGTTAAAAGTATCAAGTATGTGTACTTTTTTGTGAGGTAGCTTCTTTATTGTGAGTTTTTCTTGGTGTATAAGCCTCATTTAGTCATGTTGGTGCAAGAGTTAAAAGGCTAAAATATAGATGGCGCACGAAGCGTATTAGTTATGTTGGCATAATAGCCTTAACATAGTGAATGAAAGTGCATAAGGTACGCTAGGCGTATTGGCCTGAGAGTCTTAATGTAATAAAGAAGGTATGCATAATGCATTAAGCATATTGGCATGAGAGCTTTAATGCAATAAAAAAGGCGCACCAGGGCCATTAGGCATGTTGACATGGAAGCCTTAACATAATAAATAAATGAGTTGTAAACATAGTTGTTGATTCCGTTTCATTACTAGTCGTATCGATCGATACGTTTTAGTTATACTAAAATATGACATATTTAAAATGATTTTTCATACCAGATTTAGTATTGGATAATACCATTTGTTTTCGTTGGTTTCAGTGAATTTTGGTGTATTGGTTTGCTTCAGCGATACATGAATGTAAAATATGTTTTGAAATTTTTAATTTGTCTTTTGTTATTAGACTATTTTTAACCTAATAAAAATAAAATTAATTGATAAAATAACTTTTAAAAGTTGAGTTTCTCTATTTTTTAATTGTAACTTGTCTTTTTTTATACTTTATTTTTTCAAAGCAAAGTTCATAGGTATTTTAATCCTTTTAAAAAAAGTAACTGTGCTCATTTTCAAAAGTTTAACAATAATGAAATCAAGATTATTTTTTTTATCTATTTGTTTTTATCTTAATATTAGTATAAAAATATTTACTTAAATATCATATAATCAGATTAAATATTTAAAAATATAATGAAAAATTTATGATATTATTTTTTATACTTTTAAATTTATTTATTTGATTTTTGAAAATATTGTGTATTTATTTTGTAAATTATTAATAGCATTATAATACACAAGTTCATGTTTATTTATAAATATATATATATATATACTAAACCAAAAAAATTGAAATAATATATTGAAACAACTAATACTGACATATACCATATTTAAAAAAAAAACTGAAAACATTATCCAGTACAATATTAACAACTTTGGTTGTAAAGCACAATTGGAGTAAGGCGATAGGATGCCATCTTTCTTTATTAAAATTTTCCTGTACATGATTTCTTACGAGGAAAAAAGAGGATTGATGAAACCCAAATATACATATTACAAGAGATACAAATGAAAGAATTATTACATAAATCTAAAGGACCTATTGATGGATGCTTGTCATATTTAGTATTTCTTCAAATGAATAGTGTCCATGTTCTTCGCAAGTATTACTACCTATATCCCATAAATTAGTGTGAATGGCATCTTTTTAGTTGCTAAGTGGTTTATAGTTCTAATCGCCTAAAAGCATACCAAGGACTTCTTTCACCTAAGCCCCTTTGGCTTCATTAAGCATTTTTTTCAAGGTAGTCAAAATCTTTTGATTCATTGATTCAACTTAGTCATTAGCATAGAGGTGGGCTACTGAGCTATGAATAAGAGTTATCTTGAAATTTTGATAAAACCATTTTAACTTGTCTACCTAAAATTGTGTCTTATTGTTTGTCATGATAGTGTGAGAGAGACTAAACCTACACACAATAAAATTATAAAATCTTGAAGCTTTTTTGTATAAAAGCTTTAATCTTATCATATCTTAATTTTTTTAAAAAAAAATCTTTAAAAAAATGTCAAGCAATTGAAAGGCCATAAAAAATATAATTAAGTTGTTAAATAATCATTTCTTCTTAAATTATCCTTTTGATCATTTTAATGACACATGTTATTTGGTCAATAATTTTATGTTAGACATAATTTTAATTGTATTTATAGATTTTGACATATGAACTCAAGGTCTATCATAATTTAAAGAATGAATAAATTGACACAATATAAAATTAAAATAGTTTTATAGATTTTTTAATAATTAATTTTAATAAATTTAAAAAATGGAGAGATAAATAAAAATAAAAAAATAATTTAATCTCATCACATGAATCTAATAAAATCATTTTTTAAAAAAATGTTTAAAACTTTTTAATTTTATATTGTATAAATAACTCCTCTTCTATAATTTAACTATTATATATTACATATATTTTAGACATATAAATTAAATAACATTAACTTATATGTTTATATACATTTAAATAGATAAAATTAATTCATGCACTGCATAAATTACAAGTTAATTTACAAATAAATCAATCAGCAAATTAACAAAATTCGTCATTAAATTGCCTTTTTATTATTTAGAAATTGCTAATGGTCAAAGCCTAACGGTCAAACGTATAGATATTTTTACGTTTCTCAGTAAAGTGGCCAATACGCAATGAGCACGTGGTTTTTGTCCATCCTGAATTTTCAAGGCAAAGTGGAACAACTCTTAGCCCTAGGTATCTTATTTATGAACTGACCCTTCTAAACTTCTTTATTTATTTGGGCCCATACAGCTTTATAATGTTTTTATAATTACAACCTCATTTTGCAAGGTTTGTTTCAATTTCCTTTTATCAATAAGGTTTGTTTCTATGTACCATCTGTATGTTATTTTTATATCAATTTTCCATGTTAAGACAACTGCTAAAAATAATACCAAGTAATAAAAGATAAATTTATATTTAAGTTAAAATTGAAACATAATTGTTTTAATTAAATATATTCACAAATTCCATTGTTTTAATTATTGAAAAATATTATTAGCTTTTCCATTTAGATAATCTTTTCCATTCAATTTTCTTTTTAGTTTTGGAAGATAAAAAATATATATAATAAAAATAACAACTAAATGGAACCCTCATTTAGTGCCAAGTATAATTAAGACTTGTTCAATGTATATTGGTGAAGTTGCTTGCCAAGTTCACAGATTTAGTTCGATTAAAATTGAATCTAAAATAATTTTTTATAAGTACAATTTTAATCAAAATGTTTTGTTTATTGTAATTGTAAATTTTTTTAATATTTTTATAATCATGGATCTAAGTGTATTTTATTAATTAATCCAGATCAAATCTTAAACAAAATTTAAAAAATTTCAATTGAAATAGATAGATAAACACCTCTAGCAGGATCTTCTTTTTAACATTAATGCCTTTGTGTCTCAATTTTACATTAGTGATACTTTACTTTTCCAATTCTTTTCATTTTACATAAAATGGTAATTCTCGACTATACAATTAAAATTTGGGAAAGGCATAAAGTTACAAAAAAAGTAAATTACTAAGATAAGAATGATAATATGAAATAGTGTTAGGGTCAAATTAAGATTTAGTCAAATTTACCCATAGCATTGAGAGGGCACTTCCACAAATATTTCAAACCTAAGGGGCTCCCGGATATATGAACATCATTATCCCGTTATTTATTGACTCACGAGCTCCACATTTTAGCCTGATCCGTGAAAATATCGCAGGGCTCTTTCACTAGGGTTTCGAACTTTCCTTGATTGTTTTGAAGAAATTGCTGCTTACGAAGGTAAATCCATACTCTAATCTCTTTATTTTTGTCTAATATTTATGTAATTTTTAATTTTCAGAGCTTTTTGATTGGTCTTCCATGAAAATATGTGAAAAGAAAGGAAAACTAGGGTTCTATAATTCTTTTAATTTAATTGTTCAGATTTTATTTTACTTTTCTGTTAGTTTAATTTGTATCTAAGAGGAAATTTTGGCTCAGATCTAATGAATTTTATATTCTTTATGGTAGATGTGATTGCTGTTTGAGTTCTTTTTTTTTTCCGTGATGGAGATATTGTTGCTCTAATGTTATTTTTGGCTTTTTTTTCCAAAGACCTCGAAAATATTGTACATTAAGTGCATGTAATTATAAAAAGAAAATCCCTAATCTACACATTTTTGTGGCTCAACGGGACCTGGATTTTTATGAATCGGTTTATTTGGCTTTATTTTTTTTTTCTAAAAGAATGCTTTTCCGATTTTCCTTTTTGTTGTGCCATGAAAGGTAATAGAATTGAAAATTTTGTAATTCATTATTTTGAGATTTTTTTTTCTTTTGGAGTGTGCTTTGAAAATGACCTTAGTGCTATATTTCAAATATTTAGGAAGATTCCCTTACTTCATGGGCTTGATGGTTCTTTGCCTTTTGATTCTCTTTATTTGTTTACTACATAGCTTCATAATATCTGTTGTTTTAAGGTATTGTGAATGCTGCTTTGATCATTCTCTTTTGAACTTGCGTTGACACCGGATGTTTAACTCACTATTTTTGGCATGTTCTTTTGTATGTTTGTATGCAAATATTTTTTATATAAATAATCAGGGAAAAGTTGTCACATCTTCTACTCAGACAATATGAGGCCCATTTTCTGTGGAAACATTGAGTATGATGCATATCAGTCTGATTTGGAACGACTCTTTTGAACTTGCATTGTCACTGGATGTTTAACTCACTATTTTTGGCATGTTCTTTTGTATTATTGTATGCAAATATTTTTTACATAAATAATCATGGAAAAATTGTCACATCTGCTCAGGCAATATGAGGCCCATTTTCTGTGGAAACTTTGAGTATGATGCACGTCAGTCTGATTTGGAACGACTGTTCAGAAAATATGGTAGAGTAGAAAGAGTGGACATGAAGTCTGGTAAGTCTGCCTGTTTCACATTATCTACATTACTAACTATGGGATTCCGTGTGACGATTGTTGGTATCATTCACCCTTCCCCCTCCCTTTTTTTCCCTTTTTTAATTTTCTTTAATGGTGTGTCTGAAAGCTGGATGTATAGTTTCTAAAGTTGTCAGAGCAATGTATGCTTGAAAAGCTGTTTTCTTACTGATTGTGGTACAGGTCAAATCTATTCCATTTGGATTTTAGTTTCAATATGTAAATGAAGCCAAACTGGTTGTTTGGTGCTGAATTTTGAATTTCTCACAAAATATTGTATGATCACTTTTCTGAAATAGCGACCATCTCTTTTTGATATCAGTGAGATAACTATATGTATGAACCAGAGGTGACAAAACCTGAGCTACCTTTATGTAGAAGTAGGAGCTGTCTTTGTCGGGATTGTACTCATGTTGTATCTGTTTGCTGATGAGGATGGAGGCAGGATTTAATGTACCAGTGTGAATATTAACTAAGCTGGTAGTACATTATTCAAGATGATAGATTGTAGCAGTTTGTGGTGATAATGGGCTTTTATGAGTTTTTTTTTTCTATTTCTTGGTTTTTATTTTTTAAATATAATCTTGATACTGTATTAAAAAACTAGACAAAGCAGCTTAAATTGAAAATGTACGTTAAATTTTACAATTTTTAATAGTATATGTGTGAGAAATCTAAAATATAGAGCAATACACATATCACGAGTAAGGTACTGCAGCTACAATGAATGTCGGTGTATCCTACTTTCAAGCCATGAAGGTGGCAGTCCCTATCATGATGCTGTGCAGCACTATGACCTCACAATACATGACTCAGCAACGTCATTCATCCATTGTTGAGTTTTACTGGGGGTCCAGGATGTGTTTAAGGAAAAAAAAAAGAATTTTTTTTGAAAAATAAGCCCCCTACTCAACATTTTCTTTGGCGCAGGATTTTCTTGGGATGTAATGGAGGGACTCAGAATTCTGTTTCATGCCTGTGACGAGCTTCCTCTTCTTGCTTTCAAGAAGGGTCACTCTGATCCGCAATGGCACCACCATCCCTCATTTTCCTCGGGCATTTTTCCCTTTCATTCCTCATGACTTTTGCCCAGCCCTCAAATTCAGACATGTTTCAAGGTAGAAACATTGCTGACATCATGGCACAGACTGCAGAAAAAATGAAGATGGCACACTAATTCCATAGACCTACCATGAGACATCCATCCACTTTTGGATTCTTGTTCCTTGACATCACTTAGTTCTTCACACAAGGTCTGTTACTACTTTTACTGGACTTAGTTTGTAGATTATAGGTAGCTTGCCAAAGTTGTCCTAGGGGTAGGATTTTAGGTGTTATGTATCTTGCTGAAGAGGAAATGCCAACCAATTGAAGATTCCTTTGGTGGGAGGATTCGTAACATAGTTATCATTTTCCACCTGCCTGAAACTCCTAATGAATCCAACCTTTTTTGGTGTATAGGATTTGCTTTCATCTATATGGAAGATGAGAGAGATGCTGAAGATGCCATTCGAGCCCTTGATCGGACAGAATTTGGTCGGAAAGGTCGCAGGCTACACGTTGAATGGACAAAGGTAATGCTTTGATAGTGTTAGTTTTGAGAAAGATCTTTAAACTGCATTTTTATTTATTGTCTCGTCTTAGTAAATGTCTTTTTTTTTTTTCTATTTTTCTGTAGCACGAGCGCGGCATTAGAAGGCCTGTTGGTGGTTCAAGAAGATCTTCTGCAAATACAAGACCTTCAAAGACTTTATTTGTCATCAATTTTGATCCATATCATACTAGGACTAGGGATTTGGAAAGGCACTTTGAGTCTTATGGAAAGATAGTGAGCGTAAGGATCAGAAGGAATTTTGCATTTGTACAATATGATTTGCAGGACGATGCTAGCAGAGCATTGGAGGCTACAAATATGAGGTAGAAAGCCTGCCTCTCAAGAAAAATCGTTTATTATTTCTCTTTTTTTAAAGATATTTGATTAGATTTTACTGTTTGTTTCTGAACCGTGATTTCTGTTGTACTTGCAGCAAGCTGATGGATAGGGTTATTTCAGTGGAATATGCAGTTCGAGATGATGATGAGCGCCAAAATGGATATAGCCCTGATAGAAATCGTGATAGGTCACCTGAGAGAGGTCGTGACAGAAAGCGTTCTTCAAGTCCCATCCGAAGAGAGAGGGGTAGCCCTGATTATGGTCATGGCTCTAGTCGTAGTCCTTATAGGAAGGAGAGGGGGAGCCCTGTTTATGGTCATGACCGCAGTCCAAATCCCTATAAGAGAGATAGAGCTAGCCCTGATTATAGCCGGGGCACTAGCCATAGTCCTTACCGTAGAGAGAGGGCCGGTGCTGACCATGCACATGGCTCCAGCCGAAGTCCTTATAGGAAAGTGAGGGCTAGCCCTGAGAATAGCAGAGGCCCCAGCCGAAATCCTTATAGGAGAGAGAAGCATAGTGCTGAGAATGATCATAGCCCCAGTCATAGTCCATATAGAAGAGAAAGGCCCAGCTCTGATAATGGTCGTGGACCCAGCCATAGCCCATCTGAAAGGGAGAGAGCTAGCCCCAAGAATGGCCGTGGTTCCAGCCCAAGTTCTATGCCTGAAGGAAGGGACAGTCCCTATGGCGGTGAAGCTGAAAGCCCAGCAAATGAGAGGTATCAAAGGTATGTATCATTATGACCGAAAATTTTGCTGTATCTGTTTGTGGTTGTTACTATGGAGATCTGTTTTTACTTCATCCTTTGTCATTTGAACTGCAGTCAGTCACCATCAGCAGAGGAGTGATTAGGATCTTGAGAAGCTTTGGAGGAAGACCTCTGTCTCTGGCAGGTCTTAGTTGCAAGTCCTGTTATTTGCTTTTTTTTTTTTTAATTGACAACTGTTTCTGCAATTACATTAGAGCTGGAATCTGACCTTTTGTTGTGGTGCATACTTTTAAATCCTAGATTTCTAGTTTAAGGCAATGAATTATCATGTTTATTTTGAATGTGAAACTCATTTTATGGAACATGTTATTTATTTTCATGTCTCCATTGATGTGTGATGTGTCTTACATTATCCGTATTCTAATGTTTCATAATTCTGTTTGGTTAACATAAACCATATTTGGAATCAAATTTGTTAGAATGATAACAAAGGTAGCACCTGAATATATGCCAATTTTATGGCTGTTAATTAGCCCGAGTTTTTACTGAAAATATTGGCTGTAATGTAAATTTCAGATTTTTGGCAATCGTAGTCTGTTAGGTTGTAGAGAAAGGTTTCTTCGAGGATTTAGTAACTGTTGTTATTTCTTTACGATGTGTTTGGTAAGAGGGAAAGAGGAAGGAATATATGAGAAAGAAAAAAAAAAATTTTATTATTTTTTTATGGTAGTGGAGAAACAGAAAGAAAAAAAAAAAGTGGATTTGTATTAATTCTTTCAAATGTAACAGGAAAGTATTTATTCAACTCAAATTAATAATTTTGTTTACAACTTTACTTGTAACTTCTTTCCTTTTATTTATCTAGTTTTATATTAAACACCATAAAAGATTATCTTTTCTTTTTGTTTTCCTTCCTGTCAAGCAAAGTATTAGATTTTCTTGTTTATTTTATGTTGGAGTATATTCTGCATTTTGTGGCTTAAAATTAGATGCTTTTCTTCAACTAAAAAAAAAATTAAATATCTTTATCAACATATATAGATGTTTAATAATTCGATTTGGCAGAAAAATGTGTACTTTTTATTCAATATTCTCCTTCAACATTTGTACCTATAAATGTCTAGACGGTCTAAATCAGGCTGAGCCAGCACATGACATGAGGAGGGCTGGCCATTGCCCACTGGTTCCGTATTAATCAGGCAGAGCCAGCATAGCAGTCTCCATGAACTGAGAGCAACTACACCGAGAAGACTGGAACTGAGGCTTTCCATCATCAATTTTCATTTATTCTCATGAAGATTACCGTGAAAGAAATAAACAATGGGAGCTTCTCCTGTAGAATTAGAAGAAATTAAAAAAAAAAAAAAACAATTTGAGCTTTTCTTTTGTTCTTTCAATTTGACACAAAAACAATGGAAATCATTTTTTTCTTTTAGTGGATGGTGGAATTCGAGCATCAACGGCTTTTTGAAGCAACCTGCTTCCTCATTTCTCCTTTTTTGTTCCATTAATCAAACGAAAGGATGAAACCTGAAAGAAACTACTTGCTTATGGCATAATCTTTTTTTCGTCTCATTTTTTACGTGTATAAGAAATAAAATAACACTATTCAGAGCCTATTGCAAAAATGCCAAATAATGCTGCCCAAATATCAGCGACCGTTGAAAAGGCAAAACCCCAATGGCAAAGTGCATCTACCAAAATGCACAAGCTTTTTCAGACAGCACTACTGCTATGCTATCTGTTGGTATTGATATATACTGTATAAAAACACAACTAATAGTAGTACAAAAAATCACTGCCAAAAATTTTAAAATTGGTTGGAGCGTCTGTTACACATCCTAAAAAAAGAGCGTGGCCGTCGAAAGGGTACCTTTTTCGTTTTAGGTGCGAATCACGATACCGATAAGCTGTCACATTAAAGGAAACATTTGAAGAAATATTATATTCTACCGTATGTTGTGCTCTCTAGAGGGCGGTCACTTTAACACGTATCATAATTCCAATGATTCCTCCCTTCCTCCGTTTCATGTTTTGTTGCCTGTTGTCTTGCGTCATTTTCGGACAAGTTTCCAAACGCGGATCCATCTTATCCCAAGCCAATCATCCTCCATAGATTGCAATATTTCTATTTCATATATGTAGATTCACTCAAAAAAAAAAAATGTAATTTAAACGTGACATCTTTCTTTTCACCTTGCTTTTGAAAAAGCAGAACAGAGGATCAACCACCATCGGCTTAGTGCTTTTCTTATTTTCATGGACGCCTTTAACGTCACCACTTCACTTTGTAGAAAATCTGTGAAAGTTATATATTTGGTGGATGTACTTTCGGCCTCAGCTGCCTCCTCCTATAGCAATGTTTTTATATCAAATCCATATATTATTTTTGGCCATATCTTATTGTAGACATGGGCTTTTATATATTTTGCGTAATATATACTAATACTGCAGTATAATTTCGATGCAGAAAGCAGTAACCCTACAACTAGTTTTATAGAACTTATCTTACTTATTTGGAGAGAAATTCTATGTGATCAATATATATACCTTAGAGAATTAATACAAGCAAAACTTAAAACTTAGTATATGTTGTCCCAAGAGACTTACATCTGAGTTCAAAAGCATGTAAGCACTTGACTTGATGATAATGAAGTCAAATTCTTTTAATTTAGGGAGAATAATTGATTACTATTAATTGTGTGAATTTAGTTACTTCTTGGCTTAGAGAATTAAAAATTATAAGTTTAATGGAAAGAGTTTCCATGCATGGACCCATTAGGTTGTTGGTAATTAATTAATTAATTTGTTAGTTAGTAATTCCCTATAAACTATGGCTGCATGGATTGGCAAGTGCCATATTTAACACGAGTGACATACCAACCAAAACCCAATTAATCGTTAATAATTAATAATTCGCACGGTGTGTCTCTAGAGAAGAGGCTAAATGGGAATGTGGGGTTTAAGCGAAGAAGAAAACTAAGCTAAGAAAGCAAGACGAAAGGATGGGTTTCGCCTTTAACGAAGAAGACAAAAGTAAAAAAGGAATCATAGGATCCTTCTCTTAATCGCTTTGTTAGAAAACAATTACTAAGCGTAATGTTTAAATATAGCTAGCAAAATCTCCCTTCATACTTTGCTGTCCGTCATGACTTACCAAACATTCTAATCAAATCTTGACTACAACAAAGACTTATCATAGAATTTGGATCCATCTTTATGCTATATTATACAAAATTCATGTGAAGGGGATTTTATCTATCTTTTCCTTCCTCAAGCTTATCATCTCTTCTTTTCTTTTTCTTTTTTTTTTTTCAGTTTGTAGATTAGTATTTAACTACCAACCCATTAGGTAGGTATAGGGACAAACGACATGACTTAGATGATCAGGCAATTTAGTTAATTAAGCAGTTGAAACAAGAGCTTTTAGCTGAGATTTTTACACGAATGAATGAATTACTAAGGCTGTTCCCTAAGACATTCATCGTCTTTCAGTGCAACCATATTTTCCGAAAAGGGAAAATTTGGGAAGGATTGATGAGATCAGTAATGTCAGCTTTTCGTGTGGTCTCCAAATAACAAAAGCCAAAGGAAACATAAGATGTAAGAGCTGTTTTTTCTTTTTCTAAACGGATACCCAAAGCTTGTATCGGTTTGTATGAAAGTTAGGAGTCTAAACCAAGGTAAGGTTAGGTTATCATCGGGATCGTACCTATAAACGTATTCTTTTTGTTCTGAAATTGGTACGTAATGGTATTTATCTTGTTTTGATGTTTTATTTCAAACTTACCAACATTGTATAATATTTGTCTATCAAATATATATTTATATTTATATATATAATACACACATATAAACACATCTTTGTTACATACATTTATAAATTTATATAAAAAAATACAAGTTTTAAAAATGATAAATTTTCAATATTAAAAAATTTAAACGTAAAATAAAAATAACTATAAAACTAATAGGAATATATAATAAGTTATCGTCAAATAAGTTTAATATCCTAATTTAATGAAAACGTTTTATTTTTTGATCAAATTAGGAAAAATAAGAATGATGATGAAGAACCTTAAGAAAATAAACTAATTAGAAGAGTTAAATCAATGAAAAACTTTTTAAAAAATCAAGAGACAAAATTTTGTAGGGATGGAAATATCATTTTCGACGTCCCGTACAATAGAATCAGATCGATAGAATTGGTACATGCCAATATAAATCAATACGGGTTGATATAAAAGATGAAATGAAACCATAGTAATAGATCAGATGTATCAACTTTCTTCAAAAGTGCTACGTAACGAGTGTTATGACCAGTATAACCATGGGCTAAACTCTATCTTATTGAATATTAACAAGTCTAATCTCTAAAAATCATTTTGAAGATTCTTAGAAGGAAAATCAACCAAAAAAATTTTTAAGTTTCATATGAGAATTTGAATTTGAAAAGAATAATTTCAAACCAACACATTTGCTTTTCTTTTCTTTTTTCTTGGGATTGTGTTGAACATACACTTGATAAAAAACCAAGAAACTAGATTGAAAAAAATTGTATCTTGACCCACTTGATTGAATAAAAACTAAAAAAAAAAAAAAAAATTAGAAATTTTGATCGGACTGACTTAAGACAATTAGGCAAGTCAGCATTAAAATAGATATGGAAGAAAAGAGACATTTCCTTTTCTTTCTTTCTTTTTTGGGTTTACATCATGTAGTTGATTTAAGTGATTAGTTATACATTTTAAAATCAAAATTATACATTTTAGTTGAAAAGGATGTTGTTAATTGCTATGAATTGGTGAAAATTTTAAAATTGAAGAAAGAAAATAAAATTTTGTAGACAGTCTCATATTCACCTAATAACAAGAGTTTTTTTTGTTTTCTCTTAAAGGGAGAAAAGTAAAAATCTTATTCTCAAATTAAACAGGATAAAAATTTATCTTTTAATGCTACAAGCATATATAAGTGCAAAACTTGCAATTCAAGTGGAACAATGATTATCATAGAAACGAAATCGAAATAATGATTATCAAAGTAATTAAATTGGTGTTCCCCAGGAATTAATAATGCTTTGTGACAATGCTTGATGCTTGGGATTAATCGACTATCACATCCTTCCAAGACTTTTTTTACAATTTCAGCAATCCAAGGCTCGTTAATTATGTCTTTTCTATCATGATTATAGGGAAGCTTCAACTATTCCATTCTCTCTTACTTTTACAAATTATATTTAGAATAAATTAAATTCATTTTGATTTTCAAAATTTTAAAAGTAACTTATTGATTCCATATTTTCAATGTTGTAACAAAATAATCTCTCTGTCAATTTTCTCATTAACTTTGAGGTTAAGTATCTCAATACATGTCCCACAT